ATGTGATGGGGTCACATCATGGTCACATCACTCCCTTCCTTACTAGCAGGAAAGGACATAGAGTGTCAACCGTATCGAGACAAGTACTGCAGAAAATGCATGTGGCAAGATGTGGGCACGACTTTTTCTCTATTATAAAAGCCTTACACGTGTGAAACACTAAACTTACCAGTCAAGAGAACTGAAAGACACTATCCGAAACCATACTGTTGGTGTGGAGCACCATATCCGAAACTATCTTTGTGGACTGAGAAGACCTATCCGAAACCATATTTTCGGACGACAGACTACTACTACTACTGCTACTACTACTACTACTACTACTACTACTACCTCTACCTGCTACTACTACTACTACTACTACTACTACTAGTACTAGCATCCACTGCTGCATACATGATCAAGGTTACATCCAGAATCATTTCCCCCAAGTAACGCTCGCGGGAGCGACTTCTCTGAAATCGTTCCCCCAGTGACTACAAGGATCCAAACAGAGCGGGCGCGACCAAGGCATACGGGAGTTTCTGAACTAAATGACACTATCGAAGCCATTATTTCTGCTCTGGAAAACCCTACCCGAAACCATATAACCATTGGAACAAAGCCAAAATGGCTTTCCAGGCAAGAAGTAACCAAACCGTCTTGGCAGGATAACAGCTCAACGAATCATGGCAAACACCAAGTACTGGCATGGATTTAGGAAGAGTTGATGCGACCCTCCCCGGAGCCTTCCCCCCAGTGTCTGCAAGGATCCACATGAAATCGATGCGACTAAGGACGCTGACTGTATGTGCCTTTGTTTTGCCCCGTGGTTGCTCTTTTCTGCTTTTCCCTAAGGAGTAGTTATTATTTCCGACTTAGACCACTTGGCCGGGAGCGTCGCCTGGTCTTCGCATTATTGTTTATTGCTTTTGGGTTTTTTGTGGCTCTGTTTTGCTTGTTTTTGCTACTGCCTTAGGAAGTACTAGTAGCTGTTTTTCCGGCTGGGACCACCGCGGCAAGGGAAGGAAGCAATGTAGTCTTGGATTTGTCTTTGTTTGTTTTGTTTTCCTTAAGGGGTACCTGCTTGTAGGGCTTGGACCACGGCGGCCGCGAGGGTCGCCTTGCGTTTGCCTTTTTTTGTTTGTGTATGTTGGTGCTTTGCGTTTGCTTTGTTTTGCTCTGGCCCCAAGGAGGAGCTACTTTTCCGGTTTGTAGTTGCTTGTTTTGCGCGTTTTCTGGCTTAGCGGAATGTCTTGTTTAGGTTTAGCCATGCAACAACATTCACGATAGCTGCAGATGGCTTTGGCTGAAGCGATAACTGTTCAAGTTTTACTTGGCATGTTTTCATAAATTGTCAAATTTTCATGCCCCAACCTGTCTTACGAGAGCCAATTGAAACCGTAGATTCTAAGGTATTCTAAGGTTGTATACCAGGCCTGTGTGTATGTATATATATTACATACTCTATACATACTCATTCAGACTAATTATACAGTTACGAAGAGACAAAGCACAGCACAGGTCCCCCTCACAGAAGCCGTCTCCATCCATGATTCCCTGTCGCTGTCCCCGGGCCTTTTTCCGATGCCGCGTGCCTCTGCCGAAAGGCTCAGGGCCAAGGCCTGGCGCCAGCCACTGCAGGCGGACACGGCCTTGTCGCGCCCCACACCGGAGCTTCAACGACATAGGATTTTCATTTCAGCCTTTTGGGCGGGGGATGTGGGAATCCCGCGGGGGAATGTGGGAATCCCGCAGCAGCGTGGACCCTTAATCCGAGGTGGTAGGCCACTAATGTCTGTTAGGGAGGCGGAATATCTAAGTCCAATTGAGGTCCACGGAGCTGCAGACACCAGGAGGCCATCCGGCTCTGGACCCAAGTGCAGAAGCTGCTGGAAAAGCCCAAGAGCTCGCTGCCAGGACTTCCTGAAGACACCACCCAAAAAACTGCCCCCTGTCGATCACTACACGGACAGAATCGAACCGACCTACAGGGTAAAACCCACATAGCTGCACACGCCTGCACCATTGCAGACTTGACACCCTTGTGCACATCCATGAGCACACAATTTTGTTTTACACAGGTCCTGCCAGTCTTCGTCCTGTGATGATGATACCCGTCGACCATGACACATTGAAACATCAACTCTGAGACGCAGATTTCTCCATCCCATTTAATTTTCATGTGACGGCGTGCGGATGGAGGGAAACTCGATGCGCCGGTATCATATGTCTTGAACCCTGCTCTTTGACAAAATTTGAAAGCCGCCTCGTTTGTTTCCAAGACCGACAGCCTGACATTCGAGTGGTTGGAGCCCGTCTTCCTGGCCTTTGTTTCTGCAGCTTGGACCAATAGTGCACATAAGCCTTTTCCTTAGTTACCTTAGTTGTTCATAAGTCCAAAAAAGGTGTATACTTTCAGTTCTATGGGGGATAATATTCGCCCGAAAAGTGCGACTTGCACTCATTCAGCTACTAACTTTCCCACCGTGGGATCGATCCACGTTGAAGTAGCCAATGCTCCATTCGTCCGTGTCAAAAATAGGTCGGCGTACCTGAGACGTCTTGTGTGCAGATGGGCATGGTCGCCCGCGCACTCTCTTTCCGGCGTTTTGCACAGTTCTGCGCAGAAAAAGTACTCGTCATTCTCTGCCAGAATATGCTCGGTCTGCTCTTGAGTGACAGGCTCCTCCTCGTCCTCTGCCTCCTGTAATGGTTCATGAACCACACACGAAACAATAGCTGATGCCGTTTCTTCCAGTTTTTCGAAACGCGAAAGCCTCAAACACGTGCACGGCTCAATTCCTCTACCTTCGAGCACGTCGCACATGAAACATTGCTAACACAGTTTCTGGCAAATTAAGAATAGCAAACAGCTTAGAAACATGCTCGCAGCACGTGCGGACACCATTCCGAGATTGCCTTTCGATGCCGCACAAAACAGGGGGGTCCGTTGATTCTTGTCTGTCTCCCGAATCTACCCCCATCCTAACGCAGATCTTGGCTATCTCCTGGGACCCGCGACAGGTTCGGGCTGCTGCAAAACAAAGGAAATTCTGGTCCAATCTGGAGTGCCGCCAGTCTACATTGGCACCCTCTAAGGCCTAGTCGCCTCCGACCACTCGCCATCTCTCACTTTGAGAAGCAATCGATCCGGATTCACGGGTTTCATGTCCAAGGTGAACCTGTCTTGAGCCCGAGCTTCGCTTGGACGTTGCCTTACTGTTGCCTTGACTCGACCTTCTGAAGCACCTCCCTTCCGAGTCAAACCGTCCACAGTGAGAAGACTCGCGCAGTCTCTGTCATGCAGCTGAAATTCTGCCGGGCCCAGGCAGCAACTTGATTGGTAGCTCCATGGAGTTCGCTGTAACCTCGGCCTGCATAGGGGCGTGTGTTTTTTCAGCTCAGGGTTTGGGGTTTGAGGTTTCGAGCATAGGATGGCCTTTTATGCTGGTTCATCTCCGCCTAGATTTTGCCAAATACGAATGCCAGGTCTGTCAAAGCGAAATTTGCGCCCGGCTTCTTGGGAAAATCCAAAGCCGCCCTCGGCCCTGGAGGGAAACATGACAAACATCACGAGCTGCTATCGGTGCATGCACCTACTACGAATCAATGTTTCATAGTTCAAGGCTAGTTGAGTTGGAATAGGCATCGGTCTAGGAACCCAGGAAGCCTGTGCTTCGCCACTCCAGGTCAACAACATTGGTCTGTTTGTGGCCGATTCACTACAGACCCAAGGAGCCTTACCGCACCAAGAAGCGACATTGTGCCGCTATCATCCTGCACCCTTCACTATTATACTATTTTATACTATATTATACTATACTGTAAGGTACTATGCTACTGTATAGTAGTAGATAACGGATATGCCTGGCATCCATGGCGCGGATGCTCAAGGCCATGGCCCAGGATGCGCTGGGGTAGGGGCTGCCTTCTTCACCGGGGTGCTCACGAAAGAGTTTGGGCTTTAGGGTTGCTTTATTTACGGATGATGATGACGGCGATGATGATACTCTATCCTCACGCTGCGGCAATGCTTCCTGATGCACTCCCTTCTCGATCAGTACGAATATGTTGCTCATTGCACTATCCTGCATGTTGCTACGTGCTTTGTCTGCACATGGCGGCGGAGCGAGAACATATTGAGAACATGGAGGGCAGCGGGACGTTTCTCGTCTGGCTTTGTGGGCGTTGGCCAGACATTATGTTCTTGCGACAAGGGATTCCTAAGTTCCAGCCACTTCCCGTTGGTCCGAGAAGCTTCGATGGAAGAGCGCGACTTCCCCGAAGGTGCTAATGTCGACCTGTCACGGAGAAGGACTACGTTGCTACTGAGAGGCGCTAACAGGTCGAAAGGTTGGTGCACCTCCTTTATTTTAGGACAAGGCAGCGCTATGTGTGTGTGTGTGTTACAGCTCACTTCAAGTCTTGGGCCCAAGCAGCAGCCGTCGCACAATCTGCCGACCAAGGAAGCTCGTTCAAGCGGCTGGGATCGATGACCTCCAGTCTGTTAGGGTTTAGGGTTTAGGGAGGAACCGTCGATAGCTTTGCACTGACTTCGAGGTGATGAAGCCCCTCTCAAATCTGGGCTGCAGAGCTCGGCAACATGTGTAGCTCCTGAATCCTAAACCCGAAACCGTATATAAACCCTAAAACCCCAACACCCAAACCCTAAACACTAAACCCTAAAGCCTAAAAACCCCTAAAACCCAACCCCAAACCCTAAAACCCCAAAACCCAAATGTAGAAGGGACAGATTATGCACAACCCTAGGCCCAAGGCCTAAAGTTGGCCTAAAGCTGTCGGAGCGAGCCTCGAAGGGAGGAAAGCCCAGCAGGCTTAGCGGCACGTCCTCAAGAAATGTGGCAAATTTAGGGTTTAGGGTTTAGCGGTTTAGGGGTTTAGGGGTTTAAAATCATTTAAATTCATGAGGTGCGACGACACTATAGACGAGATCAGATCAGATGAGTCAGCGATACTCAACGCACCCCACAAGGATGGTTGAACAGTAAGCCCCAGGCAACGGGGACGGAAAACTGCCCGGGGGCCACGAATAACCTAGGTTGATGGCTGCATCAGATCACATCTAGAATCTAGCAAACAAATCGTACGTTCGTACATACGTAGGGAGACTCGTAATGAACGTGTCTCCAATACGTATTCCGAGTGGCTTTGCATCCGGGAATTTGCGGGCAAACGGGGCGGTGAGAACCTCGAAGGAGCGTGCAACCAGAGGTTTGCACAAGCTGGCACATCTCTCACTCGCGCAAGGACAGCAAGTCGCAACACAAGAACTCCCTGTATGTCGGCTGCGAGCGAGCCTTGTGCTCAACGGCTTTGGAAGGAAGCAGGATCCATCCTCAGCTGTCGCTGGCGACAGACATGTCTCGGACTTCAGGTTGTGCAAGCAAGTCGCGAACCGGCCCATGTTTTTGCTCAAGGTCTCGAATCATGCCTGGGGCGACATCACATTTGCAAAGCACTTCGCAGCAAGTGAACTCAAGCCAAGACACCCAGACATTCCTTCGTGGCTGCCACAGGTGCATAGACCAGCAAACCGCCTGTCACCTCACGGGACAAACTCGCTGCCTGTCCTGCTATCAGCTCGTGGACTCCCTCGCAAACTAGAGTTTCCGACGCTTCCCTTGCAATCGCACCAAACTTGCGGGAGCATCGACGCCAAGCAACACACGAAAGCATGCGACAGATAATAGAATGATGGCTCTTGTAGCTTCTTTGCCTTGCTGCTAGGTTGATCCGTGCACCTTCAGGACCGTCGCTCGGATGGGCACGTGGACGTAAAAAGTGCCGAAAATTTGGTCCAAGACCCAGACCTGTGCAGCACCATTTCTCCAGCAACCGGCCATCTTGTCGGGATTGGGAGGTGGAACGCCCCAACAGCTCACCCAAGTCATGCCTGCCCGGGCACTATCTCCTTCTGCAGAGTCCGTCGCCGCGCGTAGGGCGCCAACGGCAAAGTAAACCATTCTGGATAGACCTTGGTCTTCGTGAGTTGACTCACATCGGATGACTGACGACTGGCTTGATGGCAAGGAGTAACTGAAGCCTGCAGCTGCCTTGGCATGGGGCAGACGCATTCTCGCAAGCTTCCATTCGAGTTGAGGTACCGCCTAGAACCAGGACGCTGTCGCGACATCTCCTATAGTTGCACTAAGATGTGAACTCGTAGACTACGAGCTGTCGTAACGCCGAGATACGAAATCGCTTTCGGGCGCATTCTCAACAGCCTGCGCAGAGGACGCATCTGACTTACCGGCCGATTGGAGGAATGCCACCAATAGGATGCTGGAAATAAGCCATACAATGCTTGCATGGGTGATCACAGCGCTGGTATTGAAGTGATCCCTCACCAGACGCCTCCGCCTGCGGGAAAGTGGCACCGGCGCCCGCTATGCCCACGAGCAGCGCATCCCGTCGAGCCGGTCTCAGGCCTGAGCCCCATCGTATGCAACATGAGCCCAAAAGGAAGTACATAGAATACATTACATTACTTTAGTTTTTATTATAACAGACCATATGATGACCTACATTTTTATGACCTAGTTACTAGTATAAAGAAGGTATAAATACTATATACTACTATATTAAACTATACTGTATTTTACCGTATCATATTGTACAATACTATGTTAGAGCTAAAATTAGTTTGCACTGTGCACTATTACTATGACTATACGATAATATACTAGACAAAACTCTTCTATACTCTATATATATATATATATCTATACAACGTACTCTACTCTGCGCACCTCTGCTCTACTCAAAATTATAGTATACTACACCATACTACAAATATGTAAAGTACAAAACGGGTCAAATCCTCGTTCCACCTCGAGGGCCGCCACAGGCGCGGGAGGCGCGCAGCTGGCGCCTCGGGTACAGACGTCGCGCAAGTTTCCTGGCCTGGCCGCCGCAGTAGCTTTCTCGCCTGCCCGCCAGCGCCAGTGGGAGCGCAACAGCTAATGTCGCCTGTCGATGTTCTTCGCTGCTTCGATTTCTTTCTGCGACACATCCAAGCCCTCGCCTTGGAGGTCACGTTGTGCCGCGATGCGACACCTGGCCTTGCCGGAATCTTTGCCGGTCTCAGGCAAAACCTCAGCTAGCTGTGAACTTACAGCAGAGGCCTCGGAGGTGCCGAGGAAGCAAGAAAGCTTGGCGCTTGGCTTGTCTTTGAAGCCTCCCCCGAGTGGCCAGCTTGGCACCAACATCCGTCGGTCTGCACGCAACAGCAACTTGCTGCGCGAACTCTTGGGGGTCTTTTTCCCCACGCCGCGCCTGAGCAAAAAAGGCGAAGCTCCGCCCACGCAAGCGATGGTGCGCGATGGCTCAGGGCAGAATGCAACTACGAAGTGGCTACTTGTGTTGGGTTTTTGGGAACTTCTCACCTGGAAGCCGCCTTTTGAGGCACTGCAGACATGAAAGAAACAAGACTGTGCTCGATGCTTTGCCATGCATGCTCGGCAACAGCTCTCTGTCACATCTTTGGCCATTGACTCCGATTGCCGGACTACCGAGAAGCGAACGCGATGCCCGCTTAGGCAACCGAATCTCTAATGTAGCAGCGTGACTAAGAAGCGCCCCTACCAAGATCAGCGACCATTTTCGGAGCATCGGCTTAGCTTGTAGAATGTCGTTCGATGTGCTTCAAGACGCGTCTCTACCAAAATCAGGGATTATTGTCGCAGCATTAGCTTAGCTTGTAGAATGTCTTTCCCAGTGCTGTAATACAGACAAGCTTGCATCTGTCTGAACAAACATCATCAAACATCCCACGCCACTGCAGCATTGAGTCGTCAGGCAACATGGCATACAAACACCAAGAACTTGACTATTTAGGTGCACCATGATGCTCCCCATGCACCAAGCTTTTTTTCTCGCGATGCCTATGCCTGGATCCACGAGGAAACAACGGATTCCTCGTTGCTTTGGAATCTGCAGTCGGCGTGAAGCTCACCACCTCGTCCTTCAGACGCTGGAAAATGTAGGGCTCCGTCACAGGTCATCCTAGCAGGCACACAGGCGAAACAAATGTACAAGCCAGACCGTGCAGCCACGGATTCATTCTATCCGCACTGTGCGTCCTTGAGCCGTTGCCATGCAGAAACGCGCGGCTTGGCCTCTTCCACCAACTCGGTCCTAAGGTTTGCAGTTCTGCCACGCGCTCATCAAAGTTTGTCTGAATTATCAACGCTAAGCAACAAAACCATGGCTTTCTCCGAGAGTCTCCGCCGTCTCTTCAGCCGTGTCCGGTGCTTCTGTCACAGCAGCTGTTGCCGGCGCTGGCCGGCGTCGACGTCCCGGGGCAAAGAGGTCGTCTGTGACACCTAGGCGGTTGTGCGCTCTTAGTGTTACTGCGCTTCTACTGCTGTGTGCGACTAGTGTTGATAATACTACTACTACCCTACTACTGCTGCTGCTGCTGC